CCCAAACTGTCAACTGTTTCACCCTTTCTAGAAATTAAGTTTGTATTACGTTTTAAACGGTTTTCTTGCAATTATTTTTCTATTAACCAACTTTAATGACGTATTCGGCCGTATAATAATTTAATGATGTTTTTATACGATGTTAATCAATATTTAAAGTAAAAGGCTTTCAAGTGTTTTATCATATATTAATTCTTATCTTTTATACTATATTTTAGTAACAAATTTTAACTAAATTATTGGTTTAATTAACACACTTTTCTTCTTAACTACTCACTTTAGAATTTAAGCAGAATTTCATGCTATAAGATTTTGGTTATTTGCTATGACATGTTATTAATTATAAATGCGAATGTTTAGATGGATGGATGTTTCTTTGTATCACCGGAAAGGCTTAACAGATCTCATTGAAATTTGTCATAGATGTAGAAGATAGTCTGGAAGAACATATACACTGAGACGGAGTCGCAATCGAGTTCTGTTGATATAAATCGATGATATAACACTCAACAATTTGAGAATCACATGCAGTACAACAAGTGTAAGCATTTCTCGCTTCCATCGCGGCCTAGATAATACGTGCAATACTTATAACCATATTAATCTCACTTGTCTGTAGAATATTGACTTATACTAAGAAAGGAGTTTCTTTTGTACAATGTAAACAAAATTATATATAAATAGAAGTAAACAAATATATAGAAAGTACAAGTTAGAACTTATCTTAATGTACCTTTTTTATATACAAATAGGACATTCACCTAAGGATAAAGGGTTGTCATGTTTTTTTTATAAAAGAAGGGGGCAAACGAGCGTGAACACCGACGTGATCAACGACACCAATGGACATCTGCAACACCAGAGGAATTGCAGATGCGTTGTTATGTTAAAGATTTCTTTTTACAAACAAATTAGCTGCCGCCCGTGACTCCGTCCGCGTGGCGTTAAAAAAACTTAATAAGTAGGCTATGTGATCTTCCAGACTATGTTCTAAATGTGTGCCAAATTTCATCAATAACCGTTAAGCTGTTCTGGAGATACCTTCAAACATCTATCAATCTTAATATTCGAATTTATAATAATACTAACAGTCTCCTGCGATTCCGTCCGCGGGGCATTAGAAAAATCTTAAGAAGTAGGCTATGTGTTCTTCCAGATTATGTTCTACATTTGTGCCAAATTTCATCAAAATCCGTTTAGCCGTTCAGGAGATATCTTCAAACATCCATCATCTAAATATTCGAATTTATAACAATGCTAGCAGTCGCCCGCGATTCCGTCCACGTGAAATAAAAAAAAACTTAATAAGTAGGCTATGTGATCTTCCAGACTATGTTCTACATGTGTGCCAAATTTCATCAAAATCCGTTTAGCCGTTCAGGAGATATCTTCAAACTAACATCCAAACATTCGCATTTAAAATATTAGTAAGATAAGTAAGAAGTAAGGTAAGATTCGATTGACAAACAATACTTGAACCTATTTGGTTTTAATGATTTTATTTTGTTTATAATTCATATTAAAACATTCATGCTCAAATTGTTGTTATCCCTTTCATTTTGTTTGAAAGAAATAGAGATAAATATATTTTAGTTTTAGGTAGCAAGATTTAATGGTACTACAAACACCTGAAAATTGAACTGTCTTAGACATAGGTTCATGTTTGGAAATTGTTGAAATAAGAGTCCAAAAACTTGGTTACTTGGTTATATAACCGAAGGAATATGATGTCATTATATAAAATGTATTGTCAAGAGCCGGAAATGTTTCACATGTTTGATTGCAGGCGTTCGATGATTTTTTTGTAAAAAGATCACACGAAGATGACGAATTGATTTATAAAGATTTTTATATGACTCTTATGCACTTTTTAACTAAAGTCAATTGACTTAACGTTAAAAAGTTAAGACGCAAAAGTTCGTAATGTGCCGAATTTTATTTTTAAATATATTCTTAGTCATTTGTATGAGTAGATATGTATGTTTATTGCAAGCCGGGGATGCGTCCTTGAGAACTAAAATAATTTTAAAAGATGTTCTTTCGTATTTTGCTAGAAAAAAATATGGCGAAATCCATCCACGGTAATCTTACTAATATTATAAATGTGAATGTTTTGGATGGATGGATGGATGTTACAAGGTACCTAACCATAACGACAGAATATAATCTGAAATAACATATAGTTTTTTTTGTGGTGGACGAAGTCGCGGGGGACATCTAGTATATTATATTTGTAGAAACTATTAATTATAAAATCATTTATTTAATATTTTTTATATCTACTTTTCATTTCCGATTATCGTTATCTTATTAACTTTAGCAAATGTAAATTTTTTGACACATGTCAATGAAATTCCCGGATGTTAAATCGCGAATCTAAATATGAATTGGACCTGAAAAAAGATAGGCAGCAAACGACATTATATCGTTCGGTAAGCAAACACGTGGCGCGCAAGTGCGATCACGCAACGCGCGTGGATACGTGCTTTCCTTTGCTCTTTCGCTATCTTTTTTATTAACCGTCAAAGTTACAGTTTTTTTTAATCCTGTCAATGGCCAGTTAGCGCCTGCTCCTGTTTTTTAAACTGTTAAACTCAGTTTTCTTGCCAATAGTTTTGTTAGCGACTATTTTTTATTACAAGAACTTTTTATAAATTCTGTTAGTGGCCAGTAAGCGTGCCTGTGCCTTTTTAATCTTCAGTTTTATACATATTTTTGTCAATACTTTTGTTAGCGGAGTTTTCTCTACTTTTGTTTAACTGATTGTTTTTACTAATAATAGGCTTCTGATTCCTTATTATTTTGGATCAACGGTTAGATACGATTAAATTAAACAATTATTTAGTGCTTCCTTACGCAATATTTTGATTAGTCTGGGTTACATTATATTAACGTAACAGGGACATGGACTTTTTGGCCTTAACTAAATGGAAGTTTCCACAGTCCAAATCAAATAGATTAATTACTAGAACAACAAGTGTAGACCGTCTAACACGTGTGGTCATAATACGGCTATCAACCTCTCAGCAACATTGTAAGGAGGTCGCGATCTTTGTCCAGATTGACCTTGAAAAGCCGTCTCAGCGATAAATGTAATGTAATTCGATTTAATATTTGCAAATAGAACATTCTGCCAAAGACATGGCATACTGACCAGAACCTTTGCCTTTTTATTTATAACAAAAAACATGTAAAGAGAAAAAAATAGCGCGGGAATTGCGAACAACGAAATGTAATCGCAAATAGTACTCAAAGAATTAATGTTGTTATTTGGAATTCTGTTTTATTTTAAGGATTGACAACGTAATAAACGCATTTTGGCTGCTAAGCTGTTTTCAATTTATACACAAATCAAATGAGAAATACCTACCACATAACTTCGAAGGCAAAGTCGATGATAAATGTATGATTAACCGTGGGTTTTCGAGTTCAAAATACGCGATTAAAACATATTGTCATCCCTGTCATTGTCTCTAACTTGTTTGAGATATCAATATGTTTTAAACGGAGATTTTCGTCTAAGAAACTCATGGTAAATAATGTTTAAAGAAAAAGAAATAAATTTATTGCAAAAAATTGGTAACATTTTGACAAGATATAACGTGAGTTTGACAGAATTCGATGACATGGGAGCGCGGGAAAATTTTTACAACTCCCGCCTTTTTTTTAATGTCAACATCGTTACGTCGTCATCCATATTATCTTTGGCTGTCCGTTTGCTTTTTGTGCAACTTATGTTTTTATGACTTTTTGAAAGAAGAAAAAAATCTTTGACATTTTTTTTAAAACAAGAATCGGTTTATATTTTCATGTTTAACGACAACCACATAAATTATGATCTCAAATACTAATAATATAATTATTACGGTTACGGACATAAAATTTAAAGCGTAACCACTTGAATTTAAAAGTTTTATGACGGAGGCGCCATTGTATATTTTTCAATATTTATCGTGTCATTTATTTGGCTTATTCTTAAAGCAACACTAAATGAGCTACTCAAAGTGGTCTAACGGCTAATTAAGGCAATCCTTAGCAGCTATTACATATATATTAACACTAACTTACTATTTAAGAGGTGTTTCATTTCAAAACCTAATATAAGCGATTAACCGTCACGGAAAAATGGCGAGAAAGTAAAAATTTAAAATATTTGTGAATGTTTCGTACTAAACATTTGTCTAGTAAAAGACATGTTTTCAAACATATTTAGTCAGTGTTTTAATATGCAACTAAGTATAAAGTAAAATATTTTATATATACAATTTACTTTGATTTTTTTTAAACACTATCCTGGATGTCTTAAATGCAAAGATTTCTTAAATTAAATAATAAAGTATTTATAAATCCTTAGCGTAAAATAAATCAATAAAATGCTTGAAAATGAAGACGGCAAAAAATCTAAAGAACTACTAACAAAATTATTTGCTGACATTTTACACTGTCTTAGATAAATCGAACCTTAACTCTATTACCATAAGGACTACAATGTCATAGTAAGTAAAAGATAGTCGTGAAATATTAATTGGTAATCTAAAAAGCACATGTGGTTTTATAGGGACACCATAAATTCAATGTTTTAAGGATAATTTTAAACGAGTTTAATTTCAATATTATAAAGCAGTGACCACTTACTATATTTTTTATTTATATCAAAACTTTAAATAAACATTTAGAATTAAACTAAAACACCCAGAAATATTACTAGAAAATTACTGTTGGTGACTTAAACAGCCTTATTGATGAAGATTTTATATACAATTAATCAAATAATTAACTCTCTAAATGAACATTAAGTATAGATACAGACTTTGTTTATTAATAGAATAAGTACCAATTATGTTACAACCTTTAGTTATCCTTAGAGAAATATGAATAATATGTCTTAAATCCTAGTAGGAATATTCCTAAGGATAAAATATATATGGTTACCCTATGGGAGTAGTTAAGTTTTTTCGCTATCCTGAAAGCTCCCGTGTTATTCCCGATTGAAAGGCAAACGGGTGCAGTCGTGCCCGACACGCGAGTGACGATTAAAAAGTTTAGCTGTCAGTTTGACAGCGCGCCAAAATTGTGACATTTGCATTTGTGATTATCAACAAGTTTGTACCGTTTGGAAAAGTGGTGAGTTTGAATGTTAATGTGGTTATTTTATAACACAATTCCAATCTTACTAATATTATAAATGCGATTGTTTAGATGGATGTTTATTTGAAGGTATCTCCGGAACGGCTCAAAGGACCTCGCTGAAATTTGGCATAAATATAAGACATAATCTGGAAGAACACATAGGCCACTTATTAAGTTTTTTTTAATTCCGACGGCTAGTTTATTAAATAAATTCCAAAATTCAGTACCTGTATTACTTATAAAATTTAGTCATATTTGATTTTAAGGTTTTTTTTTTAATTATATTGAATAAAAGTATGGAATATGATTTGAACGAGTATAAACAATAAATAAACATATTTCCGCACTGTTAATTTTTAATTGGCCATTATATGACACTTAGATTTAAAGAGAGTAATTAAGGAAGTGCTTAAATAAGTATTACAAGAATTTGAATGTTTAATAACAATTAACTAAATCCTTAGTAAAGTCTGTGCTCCGTTGAGCAATTCAAGAAATATTTTTTGCAAGAAGGTATCCAAGAAGTGCGTATAAATAAAGTTAAGAGCTTTCATCAATATGTCATAGTTACAAGACTAAATAAAAGCCTTATAAAGCCTTTATAATTATATCTTCAACTACTCCTTCAACGACATCCATATAAATTAATTAATATCGGTAGTGCTGGCTATTGCTCTGAGATGTTTATGAAAAAATAAGCTGTCGCCCTCGTCCACGCGGAATTAAAAAAAACTTAATAAGTAGCCTATGTGTTCTTCCAGAAAGTATATATTTCTGATTAAACATTTCTTTAGTTTTAAATCTTTGATGTTAAATAAAATATTAAAAACAAATAACCTTAAACATATTATAGAAAGGAGTCCCTTTAGGACATGGTCCCTTATAGAATCCCTTCCAGAATATGTTCTACACCTATGTTAAATTTCAACGAGTTCCATTCAGCCGTTCCGGAGATACCTTCAAAAATTCATCCATCTTAACATTCGCATTTATAATATTAGTAAGATTAATAACAAGATATATGTCAACTACTTCCTCGGATATGAGAATAGGTAGATGTAACAAACACGTGCACTGAACGTGTTTGTTAATAATTCATTTTATAATTCGCAGATGCTGAAGCCACGCGAGATCATAAGCAGAGAAAGTTTATTTTTATAATAATAGCGGAGCCATATGCGAAACTAAAGCAGACATATGTTAGAATTTACTACCTCTACTTAGAGACAACTGAAGGCAATTGAACCTTAACAAAATGGCCGACTATGATATCACTTGTTACGATGATGACGAACTATTCCAAGACAAAGATAATGTAACAGATTTACATGCATATTACATGACACAGTTCAATTTAGAATTAGAAAATGGTAAGAAGAGTAAAGACAATTTTAAATATGGCGTCGAAGAGAGTTTCGATTTTGAAGTTCTTGATAATTGGAATGATACAGGAAAAGCAGATTTTGAAATAATAGATGAAGTATTAGATAATAATATAAACGATCAAAATATAAAAGAGGTTCTATTAGATTTAGATGGTATTGAATTCGATGAATATCAAGAAACATCAGAAAACAAGAAAGTAGAAAGTAATTCAAACAGTGGATATATAGACGATGAATCTCTTATAGATGAATTGTGCAGAGAGGAAGAGACTTGCATATCAACTGAAGATTTCAATGAGGATTATTTAAATACGTTAACCAATGATAATCTTCTACCATCAATAGAGACGGCATTTTCGAAGCGTTACTGTAATTTTAACAACGCTGATGAAATCAATCAAGGATACAATGAAACACAAGTACAGACAAACACACCTATTATACATAGCTTAGCGCAGTATAGTTATCCAAATAATTTAATATATAATATAGAAAATGAGAAGAAATACATATTACCAGATACACCGACAAGTTGCAATGAATTCACTTTTGATAGAAATGAAAGGAAAGCGTCTATATGCGATTCCATAGAAAGCGATGTTCAAAGTTCATGTTATTATGATGAAAATTCAGAAAACTTCGATGAAGATGAATTATTTATTAATTTAGATGATTTCGGTCTTAACTTTGAAAAGGATAACGAAGTTGTTATACCAAACAAAAGTGTTATAGACAATAGAATAAATAATAGAAATGAGAGAAAGGATAAGGAAAGGACACAAGGTGAGTCTATGATTAATTTCTTGAAGTTTTATATCCAAATTAAAAGCAAACAGTACCAAAGGTGACGTGGAAAGCGCGTACTCTACGAAATTTACCTATTTATTTTGTACTAGCGTTCACACGCGTTTCTGTCCACGCGCGATTAAAAAGAAAACGTAATTAGTAGCCTATGTTTTCTTCCAGACTATGTTCTATATGTATGACAAATTTCAACGAAATCCGTTCAGCCGTTATGGAGATACCTTCAAACAAATATTCATCTATTTAAACATTCGCATTTATAATATAAGTAAGATTTATAATTAACTAAAAGTGAACAAAACATTTTATAGTCTAAATATAATTATCGTGTTCATCTTAAAACATTACAATATTAAAACACGTGTTTAAATAACTAAAAACAATTGTTTACATTTCAGGTGAAAGGGTGTGTTTATGGGAGAACTGCTTGGAGAGATATCCTAACCAAAACACATTGGTTGAACATATTGAAAGAGCACATGTTAATACGTATAAAGGTAAAATTATTTGTATATTTTATTAATAACTTGCTACTTTTATATTTATAATACGACAATATCCAATCATTCTCCGGTCCGTCCCCGCAATATAAAAAAAAACGTAGCCGTAGCCTACGTGCTCTTCCAGACTATGTTCTACATCTATGCCAAATTACATCTAGATCCGTTGAGCCGTTCTGGGGGACCTTCTAACATACATCCATCGAAACTTTCTCATTTATAATGCAAATGTTACAAAATTATTACTAATTAAACCTACATATCTTTACTATTGTTTTAACTTTAAAGAAATTTGTCTATGAAGAAACTCCTTGTTATTTTTAAAGTATTGATTGTCCTATATTACTTGCATAACTAAAATATGGATTGTTTATTTATTTCTTGTATTCTTCGTTTCCTACAACTGTAATTTAATCATTGTTTCCTTTTTTTCAGGCGATGAATTTAGTTGCCTATGGCGGGAATGTGCACGCGCCCGTCGGCCGTTCAACGCGCGTTATAAATTGCTTATACATATGCGCGTTCATTCAGGACATAAGCCTAATCGATGCCATGTAAGTAACATATCTCGCATAAAAGTCAAATTGTCAGCAGTGTTAGTGGCATTTATAGTGTTAACATCTTTTGTTATCCACTGCTAGACCCAGATGGAAACATCTAGGTCTAACAATGCAGTCAGCTGCAACCTTATGTGGAAAAATATAGGAACGTTTAATTTACTTTAACGTTTATTTTACGTGGCTACAAATAGTTACCCATTATGCCTTGTTAGTTATAAAATAATTAAAAGAACAACAAATAATTCAACAACGAATCAAATTAAATATGATATCGAAAGACGGTAATCCAATGGCATTCTGTTGAAGTATACGAATCGAAAGACATTATACTGTTAAATCGATTAACAGTATAATGTCTTTCGATTCGATTTCGTAAAACTTCTTGTTACCTCAGTTTTGTCAAACCTAATTAGAGGGCTGACGGGTATGTTTTATTCAGAGATTTTGGTCGCAAAAACAAACGATAAGCTGTTCAGATTTAGGTACATTGTAATTAAATTGGACGTCTGAAAAAACTATTACTCTGTTCAAGTTAATAAACATTAAATTATTGTAAAGTTTGTAAGGAAAAAGATCCGCTCCTCTAGAATTTTAATATTCCTCTGATAAACGCCACCTTTGATGCTAGAATTATATATAACAATCTATAAGCTATTTACCTCTCCAGCATCCTGGTTGCGGTAAAGCATTCTCTCGTTTGGAGAACTTGAAGATCCACGTGCGCTCCCACACAGGCGAGAGACCATATGCCTGCCCTGCGCCACACTGCAGAAAAGCTTTCTCCAACTCTTCAGATAGAGCCAAGCATCAGAGGACGCACTTCAATGCTGTAAGTTGAAAAGAAGATTTATTGAACTATTAAGCCGATTGGCTTCACATGGGTACAGAGAAAATCTTATACAATAAAGCTGTAAACCGAAGTCAAAACATATCTTACTAATTTTGAATGGGTGGATGGATAGATGGATGGATAGATGGATGGATAGATGGATGGATAGATGGATGGATAGATGGATGGATAGATGGATGGATAGATGGATGGATAGATGGATGGATAGATGGATGGATAGATGGATGGATGTTTGTTGGAATGTATCTCCAAAACAGTTGCATGGATATCGCTGAAATTTGGCATAGATGTAGAACATAGTCTGGAAGAAAACATAGGCTATTTTCTAAGGTTTTTTTACTTCCGCTCGGGCGGAGTCGCGCGCGACTACTAGAACCAGATATACTAATAATTATCTTACTGTATTTTTGTAACCAATTAAGTAGATTTCCAAGTAGAATAGAATTAGATAAAACTTAAGATATCCCTAACGATTATTTTTTGCGCAGAGACCTTACGCCTGCGGTGCTGCCGGCTGCGGCAAGAGATATACGGATCCCTCGTCTCTCCGCAAGCACGTCAAGTCTCACCCCCACGTGACCAGCGTGCCCCGTACCTGCATCCCCCCCTCAAGACCTCTCCGAAGACCGGAACATGAGCAGATGGTTCCCAGCTCACCAGCTAAGCTGACCACGCTTAGATGTATCAGGGACAAGCTCACAGTACCAAAGTTACAAAAACTTTAATATTGAGCTGGTTTGGGCGCCCTGGACAAGATCGGCGCCCACGGATTTGGGAGGGTTAGGGTTAAGTGAGACTCTCTTCGCAGATTTGACGCCCCTTTCTGTATGTACAGGGTTCTGGTCTGTCGCCTAACCTACTATAGATGCAAAACGAATCAATTTTTAATCAATATAATAAGATTCAAACTTTACGCCAACTGGTCGTTAGCTGCGAATACATCAAAAAGTGTGGATAGCATTGTACAACTGTTATAAAAACAACTCCAATTAAAATTAGATTTATAAGTACCATGGTTTTTTATAGAAAAATGGCGCAAAAAGGTTACTTATGTAGACTAGTATTTTTTTTTAATGAGACTGTAAATAGCTCAATAAAATAAAATCGCTCAATCCAAAGACTGTAACAAAACGATTGGCTCAAATATTATGTAAATATTATTTAAGATTAAGTTATTTCTTACAAATGTGTTTAAAACACAAAACGCTCACCCGGTTGTGGGGTCCAATTTTAATTAATGTACGATATTAAGTTTGTTTAAGGCTATATTTTTAATAACAAAACCATGATTTTATTTCGTAAATTCTAGATTAAATACTTGTTACGTAATTGACTCTGAGTCCAACCGAGTCCTATTTAATTTACATTTTAACGTTAATTAAAATATTAATCTTTATTAAATATATTTAATGCTAAGTAAAAATTCCAAAACACCTATATTTGCTCAATTATTATTAAGTTAAAGTTATATTTTTTAAGTTACTATATTTTATAAGTTTATTTGTAAGATTTTACGAGTTTATTTATAAAAATGAAATAATAAATATTATGGCTACATAGCCTTTACTTAGGGTAGGCTCAGAGCCCCTCGGTGGGGACGTATAGTGAGCTGATGATGATGATGATGATGATGATAGCATTTAAGAATATTCAAACTTAAAATTCAGGTTACATACTTCTGTGTGAATTATTGATAATTGTTGTCTTGTCTTCTTCAGCCATGCGTCGCCCACTGGGCATAGGCCTCCCCCAAAGTTAATTGATACTACTATAGTGAAACCTTATAACCTCACTTATAGAGGCTTTCATCTAACTCGAGTTTCTTACGTATGGAGGTCTGTCGCTTAACCAGATTCGATTGTGTTACGATGAAGAAAAACATAGCGAACCAAATTGCAATATATCTGCGAATTAATTCCAAGATATGTGTGAGGTAAACCCATACTGGGCCATGGTTGAGTGTAGCTTAGTCACACCTAACTTAGGTAGACTCTGAGACCCTTCTTTATTGGGGAATGCTTTATGCATACTCCGCGCCCCAGACGGTAGTTATGTGGGATTCTCTTCCGGATGGGAAGCATACCCACTAAACCTCTCTGTTCCTCCTACGCATTATGAAGAGGCCACGGGCACGCTTGTGTTTTCGTACGCGACCTCGCCTGCGTCAGCTGCCGAAGCAGCTACCACTATGGGGTGGGCGTACCTTCAGCTTCGGACGCCGTATCCCCCCGTATCCAGCGCCCTAGTGCTGTTACGGGGGGAGAGCGCGGCGATACCCTCAGAGTAAGTTAACTGTTGGATTAATTCTGAGAGAAGTTTTGATAATTGTTATGTTTATTCTTATAGTTAGTACCAAAGCCGAAAAGTGTACAATAATTGTGGGATAGCTGTTGTACGATGTATAAATTTTCATGCTTTCCAAAGAATCTCTTTGATTTTTAAATTAGTTATATAAGTTTTATTTCCATTTTTAGATCTCTATAATGCTTACTTATTATTTGACAGAGACTGTCATTAGATATTGTAAAAGAAAAATAAATCTATTTGTCTCTACCATTGTGTTTTTTTTTAAAACAAGCCCAAAGTTTGTAGGTAATGATGAAGAGAGACTATCTTTATGTTACATTGCACTGTATTCAACTGAATAATCGAAGTCAGATCATTTTCGCACATCTAAATGCGTTTTTATCCGTTTACTACAAAACTAACAGATATATGATATGGAACAGAGTAGCAATCTAAGAACCAAACAAAGAGAGTTTTGCCTTGAAAGGCCAACAGACACTGTTACTCTTACATTTATAATATTAGTAAGGAAGGAAGAATTAAATATAGCCGTTAAGTGTTTAGAACTCATCATCTGTAAAACGTATGAGTTACGTAAACATATTTTCAAAATTAATCGTAATTATAAATCGTATTAGCGAAGAAAATAGACTACTTTTAAATGCACATATTAAAACTAAAATAACTAGATTTTTGTAAGAAGGTATCTCCAGAACGCCTGCATACATATAGAACATAGTCTGGAAGAACACATAGGCTACTAATTAAGTTTTTCTAATACCGCGCGGATGGGGTCGCGGGCAACAGCTAGTTCGTCTAATAAATTTGAATAATCAGTGAAGTAATTAAGACTGTAACCTAGCATTGGCCTAAGTAATGGTACCTACAAAATCTAAATACAATGTTGTTATCATAGAAAGTACATGGCCTAGGGTCAGAGCGTCGCGCGTGTAAGTTCATATATAAACCGTGTGGAATACAGGATGCGGCAGAAGTGTCTTCTCAATCGACAATAGCACCAACATCTGCTGACAGACCTAACTCAAGATGAAGTTTCTGGTGATAACGGCGCTTTTAGGTGAGATTTTGAATTACATTCATGTCAATTTTGCTTGCTACATATTTTGTTATAATTTTTATTGGTATTACTTTACTTATAATTTTTAATTGACTATTTCAAAGTGCTATATTTAAATACTTCTTTAGCTTACTCATATAAAGTAAAATGTTATGATCGTAGTACTAATTTATAAAAGAAATTATTTTTTCATTTATCAGTCGCCGTTTCATCTGGTCGCCTCAGCAGTGACAACCAGCAATCTGAACAAACACAGCAATGGCCGTGGCAAGTAGGCAAGGTGTACCGCTACGATGTGGAGTCCCATACCCTCGCGCGGCTGCATGAGGGCGCCAGCTCAGGCAGCGCTTTCAGGGCCAGGCTCATTGTACGTGTCAAGGCACCCGGACAACTGCAGGCTAGACTCGAAAACCCACAATATGCCCAGGTCAATCAGGAGCTTAGGTCGGATGGTCAACTGCCTGAAGACCTTAAGTACCAGCCTGCGCAAAATCTCGATAAACCTTTCGAGATCAACCTTGTGGGCGGTCGCGTTCAGTCGCTCAATTTGCCCGCATCGGTACCGCTAGCTCAAGAGAACTTGCTCAAGGGTCTCATCGGCGCTCTGCAAGTGGACCTCTCGACGCACAGAAACGTGCGCAGCCCTCACGACACCTACGATAAAGAAATCCAACAGGGCCACTTCAGAAAAATGGAAACCGATGTCACTGGCGATTGTCAAACCTTGTATACGGTGTCCCCTGTCGCATCCGAGTGGCGTCGTGAACTTCCCAAATTCGCCGAAGAAGGTGAACCGATTGAAATCACCAAGAGCAAGAACTATGGTCACTGTCATCACCGCGTCGATTACCACTTCGGTGTGCCCGAAGGTGCCGAATGGGCCGGTACCGCTCACAGGACCGGTGAAGACCAGCTAATCAAACGCGCCACCGTATCCCGCATTCTCGCAGGCAAACAAGGTCCTATCTACAAAGCGGAAACTACCAGTACTGTCCACGTGCATCCCCACTTACACGGTAAACAGAAGGCCGAAGTACACAGTCACGTGAAAGTAACATTAGACTCGCAACAACAGGACAATGAACCCGAGTGGGAGAAACCGGAAGGTAGCCGACCGATTCAAAATCTCTTGTATTCCCTTACGCCCAAGCAGGTGAACATTGAAGACAGCTCCTCGTCATCATCATCCTCATCCTCAGAGTCTCACGAGCGTCGTGATCAACAGGAATATCAGCAGGAATCTCCTAAAAACAGGCAACGCCGTTCTTCTGGTCCCAAAAAGATCGTGACTGTTAACAGGGTCGTTATTAAGAAGCGCAGTAATGATCGTTCTAGCTCATCAGATTCTTCAAGCTCTAGCCAGTCGAATTCTGCGTACATCAACGATGATGTACCAAGGAACAACGAACCAGCATACGCTGCACTTTACTTGAACCCTCAACCGCATGGCGACAAGAAACAGAACCCAATGAACGCCCAGAAATTGGTTCAGGAAATCGCCCAGCAATTACAGAATCCCAACAATATGCCTAAAGGTGATTTCCTTTCCAAATTCAATATTTTGGTACGTGTTATTGCATCTATGAGCTCAGGACAACTGAGCCAGACCAGTCGCAGTATCGAAATCGCGAAGTCTTCAAACAACAACGTTAAATCTGATATGTGGATGATCTACCGCGATGCAGTCACACAAGCCGGCACCTTACCCGCATTCCAACAGATCAAAACCTGGATCCAGACGAAGAAAATTCAAGGAGAAGAAGCCGCAGAAGTAACAGCATCTCTGCCAAACACTCTTCGATACCCGACAAAGGAACTGATGGCCCAATTCTTTGAACTCGCTATGAACGACGATGTTCGTCAACAGAGATACCTTAACAACAGTGCTTTGATTGCCGCTACCAAGTTCATCAACATGGGCCAAGTTAACAACAGAACCGCTCATTCCTACTACCCAACTCACATGTACGGTCGTCTATCAAGTAAAGATGATGACTTCGTCCTTAAGCAAGTTCTTCCACGTCTACAACAGGAGTTATCGCAAGCGGTAGAAAACGAAGATCGTCACAAGCAACAGGTTTACATTAAAGCAATTGGAAATTTGGGACACAGAGCTATCCTGGACGTGTTCGCACCATACCTTGAGGGCCAAATCAAAGTATCGAATTATATTCGCACTCAAATGGTCCATCATTTACAAACTCTGGCGAAACAAGGAGACAATCATGCACGCGCTGTGTTGTACAGTATACTGAAAAACACTGCTGAACATTACGAAGTGCGAGTTGCTGCTATTAGAAACATCTTCATGGGACGTCCTAATAGTCCTATGATGCAATCAATGGCTGAGATGACTCATCATGATCCTAGCATTCAGGTTCGCGCCGCATTGAAGTCAACTATTGAATCAGCAGCTGCGTTGAAGAATCCACGATACTTCGAACTGTTAGTACTAAATTATACCCCTTATCGTTGGTTTCTGAGACCATAATGTCTGTTTTGTAGTCTCACAAACCAAAGATTTAAGAATTAGTTATCCGCCAAAAACATATATTTTACATAGTATTAATTTCATTCCAGTGCCCGGACCGCACAAGCTGCCAAGGATATGCTTACCAAGGAAGAATTCGGCAAACAGGATTCTGCTAAGTACTTTGACGAGAATCATGATGAGGACAGCGAAAATACAATCTTGAGTGTCATCTCCCAAATTGGTAGCCGAGACAATCTTTTGCCTAAGCAATTCAACTACGTCTTGAAGAACAAAGCTGGAGGCTGGGACAAACCAGAATCAGTGAGTTCATATATTCATACTTATATTTCAGTAGTTTTACTAAAGAATAGTGAAAGATTTTTGACAGAATAAGAACTGAATTAACAGTCATTTATATTTTTTTCAGATTTCGGCGTCTGTGTCGAGCGTTCAGAAGGTTATGGATTACTTAAAAGAGCAACTTCTCGGTAACAATGGAAAGGACAACAATGATGATGTTAACCATAAATATTCTGCCAAGAAGGTCGCTCAGATGCTGAACATCAAGCGCAACAATGATGAACCCTTAGGCGCATCGTTCCAGGTCAACTTCATGAACCAGGAAAGATTCTTCGCGTTCGATGAAGGCGATTTGCAAATGTTAGCCCAAAGCATTAAGCAATACGCTCAGGAATTCGAAAAGGGAGTCGACAAACACTACACGAAGGTCTTTAACCAGGACCAAATTTCTGTTATGTTCCCAGTAGCCACTGGTATGCCTTTCATTTACAAATACAAGGAACCGACTGTCGTTCACATCATGAGTAAGGCAAAGGGACAATACGAAATGAAATCGCCGAAAGAGTACTCTGGCTCGATTGATAAGAATATTCATTTCACGTACGCCAAGAATATTGATGGTAGCGTTGGCTTTTTGGACACATTGTCGAACCAACACTCTAGTGCAGGAGTTGTTAACAAATTCCAACTGTACATCCCAATTAAAATGCAAGTAGAGGTAAAGACTGGAGAAGTTCAAGTGTCTGTTTCTTCGCTCGAACCGGAACAGGATCACACCATCTTGCATTACAGCTCTTGGCCGTACACCGCTAGCCAGAAGAAGGATACCCTTACGCCAATATCTCAAGACCCAACTACTAAATTGGTTGCACGCAACAACAAGGTAGTTGCACTCGATACCAAATTCGGTCAACAAGTCGGTGTACCGTTCCAACTCCAAGGATACTCGTATTCTAACGATTACAAGAGCATAAGAAACAAATTTGATTGGGATCATCCAGTGGCCAGCATTGCATCTGCCATTTACCAGAAAGACATCGCTCAGACCCATTTCAACCTTAAGCACCTTGGAAAACAATCTAAAAACAAGGACATAAAGTTAACGTTTGCATACGGTTAGTAGATTGCAAAAAATCTAAATAATTTGTTTTTTTGAATAACCTGCAATATCTTAAAATAAATGTCTTTTTTTACAGATGCGTACTACAACCAAAAGCAAGATGGCCAGTACAACCCTACTGCTTCTGATGTTAAAGACGTATCACCGAACAGCGAAGAACGTCGCAAGGAGCTCGTGAAGAGAGCAGTTACTGGTATCAACACGGCGAAAGCACAGGTGGTTGACTTCAGTGTAACATTCGACGGTGCACAGAAAGTGGAATACGTAGCCACAGCCGCTATCGGTGACAGTCATGTTGATAACAAGATCCAATATGCTATATTTGCTGGCAAGAACTCACCCCAAGGCAACAGCCAAATCAACGGCGTAGGTAAACATAACAAGCCTGAACCTACAACTTTCAACTACCAAGAGGCTCTGAAGAAAGACCTGAAGATGCCATTCGATTTCGACATCCGCTATGGACCCAGTGGAAATATACATATCAACGGACAGGCTGAGCGCAGCAAGAAATACGAAGACGAACTTAAGAACCATCCCCTCGCCAAACAATGCGACCAGGAGATCGCTCAAGGCAACCAATACCAACGCGCTTGTTACCAAATGATCGTCAGATCTCAAGCTCCTGACAGCCTGAGGGCTACAGTTACCTACAAAGATGTAAGTCCGGCCGTCAAAAACTTAGCTTTCCAAGCCTACAAAATCGCCGAAAGCCTGGGCTACTGGCAAACAGAAGTAAATCCATTCAAGACGTTGCCAGAGGGAAGACTGGAATTTAGCGCTGAGGCATCGTACTTAACCAACTCCTTGCATTTGGCTTTGAACTCCAGATACGGTGAAGTGCAAGTCAGGAACATGTATATTCCTGATGTAGCTGCCAGCGCAGCATCAGCTTACAGGCCATTCAGCACTTATGAACGTGTTTCCAACCATTACAGCCGCCAGCAATATCAACGTAAGTTTTATTTTTGTGAATATCAAAGAACTTTTACTACAAAGTTTGTTAGATTCAGTACAATTAAATGTTTATAATATGGCCTAATCATCTTTGACTTATGGTAGGCTCCGAGTCTCGCGGTGGGGACGTATAATGAGCTGGTGAATATGTGTGTAGACAAAGCCCACCAAGAGTACACTATTAATTTACATCGATAACTCAATATATAAATCATTCTGTGTACATTAATCTGATAAATATTGTTATAGCTTACTGCTCTGTTGATGGTACGAGAGTGAAGACATTCAGCGGTCGTAGCTACGAGTACCCATTGACCAAATCCTGGCACGTTGTCATGCAACAGGATGCCGAATACCCCGGCCAGTCGAAGGAACAGTTCGCCATCTTAGCAAGGAAGCCTAACAGCAATGAGAAACAGCAGGAGCTGTACATATCGTACAAGTAAGTTCGATTTAATAAAACGATAACATAATCCTAAGACCTTAGAAATCGCTCCTTTAATATTAACTTGTTAATTTCCTTTAACAGATCCGAATATGGAAAACAATTGGAAATTGAAATCCAGCCAACTGAAAGTTCCAAGCAACAGAAGGTGAAAGTAACAACCGACGCGAAGAAGGTTTCCGAAGGCGACTTAACAATGTATTGGGATGATGAGGAAGAAAGGCCCATTCTGCAGTACCATACCGAATCTGATGGAACTCTTATGTTGAACATCCGCGAAGAACGTCTTCGTATCATGTACGATGGATACAGATCTGTTGTACTTAACCGTGAAAGCCGTAACAGCTCAAGAGGCATTTGTGGACAAATGAGCGGTGACAAACGCGACGACTACTTAACACCCAATGGACTTGTCGACAGGCCCGAGCACTACGGCGCTTCTTACGCTTTGGATGACGAAAACAGCGATCCTAAAACCAAACAGCTGAAGGAACAAGCCAAAGAGAAGGCATACGAGCCAGAAAACCACTACACAACTATACTCCGATCGGATCAAGAGTGGAAGAACGCAATGCATTCCTCGTCTTCCGAAGAGGATTGGGGATCACAGAACGTGTACAGATCGAGGAGTTATTCGAAGCAACCTGGACCGTGCAAAGTTCAGCAGCAAGTCCAATACTACGAGAACCACGGAGAAATCTGTATCACAACCAAACCATTAAACGCTTGCCAGTCATCTTGTCGCGGTGATGGTTACAAGGTCCAGGCGGCTCAAGTGGTGTGCAGACCGAAATTCGATCAGCAATTCCGCGCATACAGAGACCAGATCAAACAGGGCGAAAACCCACAGGTGAACGGTGTACCACAGAACAAACAATTCAGAGTACCCAGTTCTTGCCAAGCGTAAAACATACGATTAACTTGACCAGGCATGATAACGGACCGAATACAATAATAGATATTGTTATGTTATGAATATTATATATATATAGAAAATATTTATTTATTATATTATATTGTGTATAGTATGCTATCAATTTAACTTTATAGTATTTATATATCACAAATTTTTCGTATATATTTTTATATAAATCTTATGTATCGTTTATATATTTAAGTTGATTTTATTGTAGTATTATTATAAATATAATATGTAGAAGTAGTAAGCAAATGAAAAAAGATAAATAAAAAAATAATTCTATAACGAAATATATGAAGTAAAAAATAAATGTCGTTGTTTGATTTTTTAATGAATACTATGGTATTAACAAAATAGTTATAGTAAATAATTCAACTTACCTATACGAATATACACGAATTTGCAAACACAAAATGTCTGAAAACACTAAACGAGTAAAAAATGTCCATGTTTGTTTCTAAATAATTTACATTAATTTTCTTAAACAACACCGTTAAACACTCACAAAATTAATTTAAATCTAAGCTGAATTTCCGGTCAGAATGACTAACAACAAATGCTTTGATCTATTTAATTTTGTAGGAACTTTTTAGTAATAAATTAACTGAAAATTAATTAACAATTTCTAAAACTTAAATACTTCAAAATTAAGATTTTATAAAATTATAAATAAAGGAAAACTGGCAAATAAATAAGTTTTGTTAGGATTTAGAATCTGTGGTAACACTATGTAAACACCGCTATAAAACGCCGCATCGCGAAATCAGCTGTTTGTCAGTGTACGCGTACGCGTATTTCTATGGATAAAATTCCTTAAATTGGTTGTTTTTTCATTTATTCAAATAGAAAATTGAGTAGAAAACAGGAAATAATTAATAAAAGTATTTTCATTGATTCCGTGTCAAATATAAGTTGTGGCCAGACATATGAAACTTGTGTTAAACGTGTTCATTTTGAATTTCGAAGCCTTCTACTAGGTAAGTTGACTTTTTGCTTTTTTGTTTAAAGTTAATTTAAATCTAAGCAATCGATTGCTCACATTTCTACGATTTCACAATGAACAAACCTAGAGAATTTTTAATTCCATAATCCTAGATTTTTGTATACATTGACTGTTAAGACATATTTCTCTTGACTGTCTAGTTCTTGCACATCGTACATTTGACGATATTCAGTAGATTTAAAATATGTTGAAAATTACTTCAGTCTTTAAAAAGGTTGTAGTTAAAGATTTTGAGTATTTACAATATTTTAGACATGCTGCCTGTCTTTAACTATTGATTTCCATAGTACAAAAGGGGGTGTTCCTTAGTGCTTCAACTGTTTTATCACATGATATTAGACTTTACCAGAAATTATAGGTTTAGAAATATGACTATGTGAAGGGTTCAGAAATGTAAGTACTACTAATAAGAAAGTATTTATACTAGAAGCAATTATTGTGCTACATTTAAAGAAAAGACATACTTATTATAACCATGTTGATGTGAATGTCAATCAGCGGCAGTCAAAGGGTTAAAACATGTTTAACTAAACTGTCCTAACCATGTATTGTTTGTAGTAATACTGTTGTTTTAGCCATTGAAATCCATGGTCATTAAATTTAAACAGAAACACTTTATGAACATTATCCAAAAGAACAAACTAATATTATAAATGCAAATGTTTTGATGGATGTTTGTTTAAAGCTATCTCAAGAACATCTGCATGGATCTCGCTGTAATTAGGCATAGATGTAGAATAGCCTGGAAGAACACATAGGCTACTATTTTAGTTTTTTTAATATTGCATGGACGGAGCCATGGGCGATAGCTAGTGTATTATATACTTATTCAATATTAACATAGTAAGTGCAATGCCATACTTTTGCCAGTGACATTATAAAGTATATTTTTTTATAAAAAAACAGATGAAATGGCTATTCTGAAGGTCATCCCTCTTGGAAAATGTGACGAGGATTACAATTTGGCATCAGGCAAATAGTCTCATCGGATGAAATGCAGAAATACTTTCTCTTCAATCTTGGTATTATTATTTTTGATTTTGCATCGAACCTTCTACATAAAAGCCTATTAACAGTAATTTCAAAATTGGCTGTTAAAAATACAAAATTGTGAAAGTTTGTTTTTCTTAAAATGTTAAAATTATAAACGCGCCTTACAGAATTTGATAGCAAAAAATATGATCAGCAACTTTTTAGATATAGGATTATATTTAGTTGGCATGGCATCTTAATTGTAGTCTTTGATATTTTTTAATCAGAATTTCTTTGAACTCTTTCATTATAAAGACATCTCACAGTAATAATTTTTTATTGTGAGTTTAAAATATTTGTAATATAAATCTTTTATTTTATGCCCTGGATACTAGATGGCGCTGTTATGTGATTTTAGTGTCCTTTGAATTATCTGAAAAGTCAAAAAATCGATCGATTTCCATATCACTTTACATGTTTTTGTTTTTGACATATTAACATATTTTTATCCCCGATAACCTATATTTTTTAAAGTAAGAAAGTACCATTTAATCGTTCTAATACTCGATCATCATACGAAAGGAGCAACGGGAAATAATACAGCTCAATAATAACTAAAAGTATTATAGATTGAAAAAAAAATAGGCGAATACATTTTTATTAGTTGCAATGTAACTTCTTGTGTATTAACTTGACATTCAAACGACCTCAAGTCAACGGTGATTTTTTATTTATCTATGGTTACGTGACTTGCCTCGTGTCGACCAATAGAAGCGCGCCAACGGGAGGCGCGGCGTTGACGCATGGCTGACGCAATACGGTGCATACGCGTGTTTTTGGCGGCAGATTAGTCATTTTAGTTATTTCGTTTTCCTTGTTTAATATTGACTTTTCAATATAATTAGGTTATCATTGCGTAAATATTTTATCACCTTATCTAAAGCAATACAACAACGCATTTCTTTACCGGGTAATTTGATACTGACCTTGAGTTTTTGAATCCAAAATCCCTGTTTAAAATTGTTATATCTGTTTTTTTTTTCAAAGATACAAAGATTTTACTGTCACAAACCCACGGTTATTGTAAAGTTTCTAATTAAATTGTAGTTGTATTTGCTGTAAAGATAAATACGTTAGGTTTCCTATGGCAGGATGAAATGTTTACCTTTGCCTTTAAAAAATCTCCGCAATGGGTATGTCAACTCGACTGGTTTTGTCATATTAAAAAGTCAGAATGATGCAATAATGCACGACGATGTCCTAACTAAAAGACGTACTTAGTTTACATTATTCCAATCCAGTGATTGAATCCAGTGTGGTTGGCGTAACATCTTTTTATTTACAATCCAGTCTTTTATTCGATAAATGAAGCGTAAACTGGGTTTGACTATGTTTACAAAAACATATATTGATATCTCACTTTCTTAGTTAAAATTAACTAAGCCAACGTAATCAAAAGAAGTAGGCAGAGACCACAGACCTTCACTGACGCGGTCCTGATACAGCTTCCTCACTTCTACATTTATTCATTTGAAATACATTCAAAAGTACACGTGATATCGTATATCCCGCCGCACCCTTTTCGTGCTTCACGTGATGAATTCACGATACATTATAAGATTTCTTAAGATTGATTTCCTTTAAAAAAACTAATACAGAACGAGGTTCAGATAACAGATGACATTTAAATACTATTTGAATCATAATTAATTATAATAATACAAAAAAAACAAAACCAAAGGGTTAAAGTTCAAAACAACCTTTCTAACTGGATATTTAGTTGTTGACCTTTTACTCAAGGACAATTATTTTTTTCACGAATTTAAAATAAAATAACTAGATGATATTTAGATTCCGGATACTTGAAACTGGTTGTACAAGTATTGACTTACATGAATTTGTGCTAAAATGTACTAGCTGTTGCCTGCGGCTCCGTACGCTAGGAATTAAAAAAATAAATAGTAGCATATGTGTTCTTCTAGACTGTTCTACATCCATAAATAATTACCGTTAGATCCATCCATTCGTTCTGGAAATGCCATCTAACATCCATCCATAGAAACATTCGCATTTATAATATTAGTAAGATGAGTTTAATAAAGTGTATTAAAAACATTTTTTTACCCCAATTCAAACCTTTATTTTACTTTTTCCATCATTTATTTAAATATCTGAAATATCGAACATCCTGTATAACAAACATGCTCAAACAAATCATATATTAACCACTAAAATTAACAAAACAACGACGCAACTATAGCCTTGATTTGCAAATTTTAATTTGTCAACGAATAGCGGATTACAAGTCACTATTGTAAAAGCAATAAGGTTCAATTTTGTATAACAAATGTTATATAACATACGGAATTGATTGTCGGAATTAATAAAGGTCATTGCGACGAAGACAAGTGAATTTTGCGTAATTATTTGTCATCAAGAATGTTTTGACGCATGTCCAGCAATAGGCAACATATTTGCCTAAATATATAAAAGGCAATTTAACATTTTACGGAAACTACATCGTAAAGAAAGTCTTCTGCATCATCATACATTAGTTAGTTAAGTTAAATAGATATAGTGTTAGGAAGAAAATCTGACAGTGTGCCGGTGTACTGGCGCAACACTAGCCTTACTAAAATGTCGACGTTTATGTCCCCTCACTAATCATTCTGACACTTGACTTGAAAAATAGGTACTAAAGATAGGACAAATTTCGGCTTGACCTATCAAAAATTGGTTTAAACTTTCGTGACACATTATGAGAAACCTAAGGGTCTTGACACACGGGCGTAACAGATTTACCTTTCGAAGTACTGAAACCTAAAAACGACTAAAACACTCGCGTGTTTTCGTTCGGTGTTGCCACCGAAAAAACTTAAAGGGCTAGTCAAAGAAAATAATTTTAGAATAACTTTTAAATTAATTAGAAGCATTTATTAGCGAGGAAAATAATAATTACTATAAAGCAGTAATATTGCGAACCGTAGCTTTGTGATCCCTGGTGATCCATAAAGTTGTTGACATAAATGGCGTGGAAAGTACCTGACGTTGTATACACCGACTTGTTCATTTTGATACACGTGCACTTTATTACAAACAAGTGGATTATTCCAAAGATATCTACAACAGGTAATGGCCAAGATTGTTCTTTCATCAACGGCGTACTTCAATAATCGATCGTTAATACGTTCTGTAGAATATTTAAACTTACTAATGTTATAAATGCGAAAGTTTAGATGGATGGAAGTTTGAAGGTATCTCGAGAATAGCAGAACGGATCTCGATAAAATTTGGCATACATATAGAATATAGTCTGGAAGAACACATAGGTTACTAATTATTATTTTTTTTGGTTCCGCGCAGACGGAGTCGCATCGACAGCTAGTTATATTATGAAAAAATCGATCGCACTTAAAATAGTTTTAAACATAGATCACATAGATTTTGGTCTTAGAAACTCACGGTAGATGGTATATGTTTTTCTGTTGTTATTGCAAATTTAAATTGTGCCATATTCCGTTTATAAAATTAAAAAAAACGACATGTATTCTTCCTATATTCTAATCTTACATTCAGTCGTGAGTAGTGTCTTGTTTAATGGAGACTAAAAAAAACCCAATACGTCAATGAACGCCATCTAGTGTTGGTAGTTAGTAAACAAATATCCAATACGAGTTCAAGTTTAACACTTTTAATGTCACTACTGTTATGATGGTGCCATGATTCGGGACGAGGTGACACTAAATGTGTTAACATTTCATTACATGGGTTGATATTTGTTCATTTGATTGAATGTCAGACGTGACGCGTCTCAGGTCATCACACGTAGCCCGTTATATTTGGTGTTCACGACACATACGTTAAAATGTTTCTCAGAACACTAATTTTAGGAATTGAATACGAATGAGTGAATCTGGTCCCTTGTAAGGAAGACGAGAAATAGACAGTGAAATACTGTTATAGTGTCTATTAAAGATAGATTAGTTTGACTACTGACGCCTA